CAGCATCCTTTGTGTTTCTACAAATCCTGCTTGTGGGGTGTACTATACAGTACATATCGGCGATTAGTACATGACCTTTGTGGGCTAATCCTTTGAGCACACAGTCATTGGAGTATGATAAGAAAATTATTACCGGCAGATGTTTCACGCTCGGACGTGTAAAGTATTTTTATGGCAGGGCAGGGAATTTTAATTTAAGCTTCTAAAAGACGCCTAATTAATATTATTTCTACTTGCAACATTCATAGAAACTGTGCAGAGTGAGCTATAGTGCTATAATGATAAGTATCATTATTACTACTATTATTATTATCACATTAATCATCATTATCATTACCATTATTATCATTATCAACATTAAATAAAACTGTTATAATATTTCTTATCATTATCATAACAATAAAAATAATCCTTGTTATTATCATTATTACCATTACTATTATCCAGATTATCATCAATATCGTTATCTTTATTATCATATATATTTCTAATTATTGTTAATTTCCATTTTATGATAATTACTGACAGAATTTCGTATTTTTATTGTTATCTTTGTTTTTTTCGATGCAGAAAGTTACAGCAACGATATAATGTTCATGATAATGGTTGTAAAACTACTTCTAGCAATACTTTAACAATACTAAAAGAAAAAAAGTTACTAGAAAGTGAATGACACTCCAGTATTGATAATCAATAATCCAGGTGATATCAAAGGTAACACAATTTTCAATTCTTAGTATTGTAATTTCCCAGCTGCAATTGCAAAAGAGTTGAAAAGTGGATAGTCCTATCTTCATACGACGCTATTTTTCTTAATATAAAGGTGACTAAAATGAATATTCATTTTATTAAAACCGCATGAGATTACTTACCATAGGTTTAGAAGTGAAGCAGTTTTCCGAAATTTACGATCATACTGTCAATCACTTTCACGAATCAATCCCAACATAATGGTCTCCTATCACGATCTCGTTATACGCTCTTCGAGAGAGGTTTTCAAAATCGAGTGCACTCCCATTTTCCGCTTCAATTCGTCAAAGTGAACGACAAGGATATGGACCTTGAGGGACATTCTACAACTCACTGCGCCGTAGATCTGCACCAACCAGCTTCACACACTCTCCGATCCGGAATTGCCCAGGATGCTCCAAACCCATGCAACAAAGCCTCCCAAAGTGTTCTCTCCTTCCTATTCGATTTCTCGGGGAGTTCCTTGCAATCCAGGATCTTCTTTGACTGTGGTCCGACGGTGACACCTACTGGCTCTTTGTCCTCGGGTGGCTAAGGGAAATAGTATTACAGGCTGCAGTCTCCTTGTCTAGAGCTCTGACAAATTATTTCACAAGGTCCAGTTTTATGGACAATGAGGGCATCCGCATTTTCAGGGGGTTCACCAGTGGCAATGGTCCTTCCCAAAGAGAATTTGATCCGTTGTGGCCAGTTCTTGTTATAAAGATAATAAAGAAGTAAAACGAGTGTGCTAGGAAGACAGACGAGTAAATGTTCATGAAATGGTGCAGCACGACCTAGTGTTCACGTTGCGAAGCAGAACACTTCTTGACGGACGAAGAAGCTAGAAAAAACTAGATAGTCTCTTCTTCCATCTGCGATTTGTATGATTTCAGTCAACAAGTTCTACTGTACTTAGGCGTCAATTGCTCAGCACGGCTCAAACTGCTGAGAGGTATCATTGGTTCCTAAATACTTTTCAGGCATAGAGGATTGAGAAATAATGTAATGTAATGATATTACCAATACTGAAAGCAACAATGATGACCTGGAGGCCCTGAGAGGCCACACAATGAAGATAGCTACCGTTTCAAGTAAGAAGGTCGGAGATATCTAAAGGGAAAAAGAGGCCGGGTGTATAAAATACTCTGCGACGGCGGCGGCAGCAAGGTATATATATATATAGGTGAGACTTGACAAGGACTCCACGAACAACAAATCGGCCAACAACCACCACCTCTATCATTATTATCATTATTATTATTGTTATTGTTATTTTTATTATATTATTATTACGGTTATTATTATCATTGTTGTTATTATTATTATTATTATTATTATTATTATTATTATTATTATTATTATTATTATTATTATTATCATTATTATTATCATTATTATTATTATGATTGCTGTTATTAATATCATTATTAATGTCATTATCATTACTATATATATACATATATATGTACATATTTTCATAATGTATATTATCATTATTATTATTGTTATTGTTATTTTTATTATAATATTATTACAGTTATCATCGTTGTTATTACTGTTATTATTATTGTTATTTTCATTATTATTATTATTATTATTATTATTATTATTATTATTATTATTATTATTATTATCATTATTATTATAATCCTTATATATATATTTCATTATCTTTATTACTACCATTGTTACTATTACTATTATTATATTTATTATTATCATTATTATTATTATTATTATTATTATTATTATTATTATTATTATTATT